TTGGTCAGCTCATTTTCAGACAGGTTTTTATAGAAATGGATCAGGACAAAAAGAGAGAGAATCTTTGTTCCTGAAACTTTCAGAATCTCTTTCCACAGAGGGGACACATGTTGATGTAGAAGAGACATGAAGAAGAGGGGACACATGTTGATGTAGAACAGACATGGAGAAGAGGGGACACATGTTGATGTAGAAGAGACATGGAGAAGAGGGGACACATGTTGATGTAGAACAGACATGGAGAAGAGGGGACACATGTTGATGTAGAAGAGACATGGAGAAGAGGGGACACATGTTGATGTAGAACAGACATGAAGAAGAGGGGACACATGTTGATGTAGAAGAGACATGAAGAAGAGGGGACACATGTTGATGTAGAAGAGACATGAAGAGAAGAGACATGAAGAAGAGGGGACACATGTTGATGTAGAAGAGACATGAAGAAGAGGGGACACATGTTGATGTAGAAGAGACATGAAGAAGAGGGGACACATGTTGATGTAGAAGAGACATGAAGAAGAGGGGACACATGTTGATGTAGAAGAGACATGAAGAAGAGGGGACACATGTTGATGTAGAAGAGACATGAAGAAGAGGGGACACATGTTGATGTAGAAGAGACATGAACAAGTGGATGTTTCATAATAGGTGACCTTTAAAATATATATTCATTCCTTTAATGTTGTCTTTGAGCAGAAGATGCTTCGAGTCAAAGACGAGGAGATGAAACGGAGCAGCAGGGGGCGGTGCCTAACGAGGAAAGGGGTGGGGCATTATACAGAGGAGGAGGAGGATGATGATGAGGAGGAGGATGACGATGATGATGACGTGGCCTTCAGTGAGAGCGAGCTGGAGCTTTACGAGCAGTACAAAGCTGCCGGATACAGAGACCTGGTGAGTATGTGAGACTGAGCGTTTCTGACCAATCAGCTGCCAGAACAGACACTTCCTGTGGTTTGACGCTTCGTCCTGTTGCAGATGTGGCACAGCGAGGATGAGGAGGAGGAGCAGTCGGAGTCTCTGAGGAAGAAGGCGGTGAAGGTGAAACACGTGAAGAGACAGGAGAAGAAGCCGGAGAAGAAGGTGGAGAAGAAGCCGGAGAAGAAGGTGGAGAAGAAGGTGGAGAAGAAGGTGGGGACGGCAATACAACATAGAATACATTTTCCCACATTGAATTGTTTTCCTCTTGCTGCAGAAATATGGTTTAAAATAGCCCGCTGTTGGATTCAAAGTACTTAAAGGGCTTTATCGTCGTCACATCCACACTGTATGACAAGTTTAATTCACAGGCTCCTCCAACAATACATATATAAGACATGAAACAAATACAAAAACAATAAAAATAGTGCAAGAAGAAACAAGATAAGATAAGATATATGAAATGAAGAAATGTTTTCATCACAGCAGTATAGATCAGACATTGCACATGTATTAGAGGTAAATAAAATGTAGTAACACAATAAAGATATACATATCAGCAGTAGAAGACATCCAAAATACGCAGAACAGTGAATATATATACATATCAATAATGAAATCTTTATATATTGAATATATTGAAAAGGTATGAATAAAATAGTGCAAGAGATTGTTGCAAGACTATTTCACAGGTAATGCAGGAGAAGTTAACTATATTCAAGTGACATAGAACAGTATGAGCTAAAAGTAGAATGTACATGTACACCGTCCCCGGCTTGAGCTTCAATCTCAGGATCCATGTATCTGTGATCCTCTCCAGAATGGAAGTAGTCCTCAACTAGTTCCTGAACAGTGTCCTTCACATGCTGATATCCAAGAGAGGGAGTTACTCAGTCACAAGATGGAGGAATAGAAAGTCTGACTTTTTAACAAAATTCTGACTTTTTCTCAAAAAAACAGACTTTTTCTCAAAAATCTAAAAAATCT